TGGCATGTGGTGCTGGGGGATTGAACCGCGGTCCCTGATGCTTTTGCTAAGCTTGTTCTAAGTAGGTGCTTTAGACCACTGAGCCATCTCTCCAGCCCTGGAATTTATTTTTGAGACAGGATCTGCTTATGTGGTTCAGGCTGGCCTTGAACTCGTGGCAGTCTTTCTGCTTCAGCCTCCTTTTTGAGTGTTGGCATTACTGGCATGAATCATGATGCCCAGCTTGAAATTTGAAATACAAACTTTAAATTTGAAAAACAATACAGTACACGTAGTATATTAACATCAGAGGGACTGGGAGCAACAATAAACAAAATAATTTAAAACTTTAGTTGAATTATAATATACACACAGTAAAACATAAATATAACTCAGAAAAAAAGATAAATATAACTCAGAGACTCTTTACAAAATGAAAAAAGTATTTATGCCATAAAATGTAGAAGTCTGATAAACATGCTCATATAGAAATATGCTTATATCAGTAGATCTGATATTGCTGCCAAATGAGAGAGATTAGGATTTGCAATCCAGGGCTGGGGAGATAGCTCAGTAGAATAAGCACTTGCCTAGCAAGAGCAAGGGCCTGAGTTCAATCTCAGGTTCCTCGAAAAAAAAAAAAGGATTTGTAATCCAACAAGTCATGGAGATCAGGCTTTGGATTTCATACTTGGGGAAAGGGGTTATAGGCCTGTATTAACAGGAGGAACATTTTTTTTTTTTTTAATATTTATTTATTTAGTGTGTGTGGCCAGCTCAGCCCACCAGGGGGCGGGGCTGGCTGGCATGTGGTGCTGGGGGATTGAACGGAGGTCCCTGTGCTTTGTTTAGCTTAGTTTGTTCTAAGTAGGTGCCTTAGACCACTGAGCCATCTCACCAGCCCAGGAGGAACATTTTTATAGAACAAGATAATATAATAAATCCTATGAGGCATTTCAGGGTTATAAAAGGACAGGTACTAGAGTTCCTGGACGTCCCTTGAGGATGGGGTTTACGCCTGTATTCCACCCTTCCCAAAATTCTGTTTTGTTCTTTTCCCAGGAATGTGTGTCCAGATGCCAACCTGGTCACCACAAAGTATCCTTCTAGACAACTGAAAGGATCAGCTCTGGCGCCCAGGCTGAGGCCAGCCAGCCCTGAGCCTTAGACCAAGGGAATGGCATCCCCCCGGGAGTCCCAGGACCAGGCTTCTGGGGAGGAAGAAGGACTACTGATTGTGAAGGTAGAAGATTCCTCCTGGGAGCAGGAAACTGCCCAGCAGGAGGACAGCAGGGATTCTGAAGCCTGCCGCCAGCGCTTTCGTCAGTTCTGCTATGATGAAGTAGGTGGGCCACACGAGGCATTTAGCCAGCTCTGGGAGCTCTGCTGCCGCTGGCTGCGGCCTGAACTGCGCACCAAGGAGCAGATCCTGGAGCTGCTGGTGCTGGAGCAGTTCTTGACGGTGCTGCCGGGGAAGATCCAATCCCAGGTTCAGAGACAGTGCCCAGGGAACGGTGAAGAAGCTGTTGCCCTGGTGGAGGACCTACAGAAGCAGCCAGTGAAGGCCTGGCCGCAGGTGAGGGGCCCTTCCTACACCCAGGGGCCCCTGGATGATACCTAAACTGGAGGGAAGTGGCCATCTCCGTGGGGACGAGTGTCCAGGAGTCACGGGGCAGAGGAGACACCAAGCCCTGGCAAGTTTACGTGAAAGCAGAACATAACACTTGCTGCTTTTCTGAAAGATAAGCCCAGCGCATTTTATTTTTGGTGACTTCATTGGACCAAGTGAGCATATACCACACGGGTTCTGCAAACATTCGTGTTCTGTTCTTGGGATCATCTGGGGAGGTGCTAATGAGCAGTGTACATGTGGGGTTGTGCTCTTGACAGGAGATTCTCCTACTTTTCTCTTGCTCTATGGATATGAACTTGGCCTCTGGTTCTTGCCTCCTGGTTGTTCAAGGGGTGTTCTTGGGCACACAGTACTGCCTGGTGTCACTTCTCCCTCTGATTTCCCTAGAGCTTCATGTGGATCTCCTTCCCCACACCCCCAACTCCTGAGGGACTTGTTTTCTTGTCTCCTCCCCAGGGATTAACCTCTGTCTCCCCCCCCACCAATGGTCTCAGTGCTGATGAGCGTGTTGTGGTTCCTGCACAGGATGTGCCATCAGAGGATGAGGAACCAGAGGCTGTGATCCAGACCTCCCAAGCCAAGGCCACGGTGGGGATATGGAGCCGGCTGTCTGCTCCCCAGGATCAGCGCAGCCATCGTGGTGAGTAACATCTGACCTTGTACGTGGCAGAGTGGCTGGACAGGGACCTCATGTTGCCCTAGGGATCACATTTCTATTCTGAGAAGCCCGATCATGTGTGCGTGTGCGTCTGTGTAGGTGTGTACATCTGCATGAGGAGGGGAGGCTAGAAGGCCTCAGTCCTGGCCCTGGAGCGGCCTCTCTGAGGCTTTGTTCTTTTCCTTCAGCCCAGCTTCCCGCTCTTCTTAAAGAGAGGAGTACCCGAGAGACAACAGATGCCTGCTTTGCCTCGGGGGTCCATGTGAGTTCCAGTTCCTTTATCTTGTGTTTGCTGAATCTATAAACTGGGCCTTGCCACGGCTGAGTGTGGTACACGCTTGTACCGCCCGCACTTAGGGGATTGAAGGCCAGCCTGGGGTACCTAGTAAGACTCTTGTAAAAAACCAAACTATAAAATGTGTCTCACTTTCTTCTGTAGGCCTTTTCTTTTCTTTCTTTCTTTCTTTTTTTTTTTTTGTAGGCCTTTTCTATCCTACCCATCCTGCCTCCATCCACAGTTGCTGGGAGGGCTGAGCGAGGCAGCATGGCGGCCTCAGTCAGGTCTTCTCATTCCAGGGACCTGTGGCATTGGGAGACATTCCCTTCTATTTCTCAAGGGAAGAATGGGGCTCACTGGACCCAGCTCAGAGGGATCTCTTCTGGGACATAAAGCGGGAGAACTCCCGGAACAGCACCCTGGGTAAGTGGGGCCAGGTAGGCCCTCCATCTTGCCACTGTTCCTAGTCTTCCCTTAGATCCAAAGTGAATTTTTATTGAATTTTTTTGAGAGCCTGTGTGATTTTTGTGTGTGCACACTGACCTTTATTTTTGTGTATATTAGGTGACAAGTTTCAGAGGTGACTAACTCTGAGTGCTTACAGGGGCATTTTTTTCATTTGATTCTCACAAACTGGTACACAAAAAAATTGAATTTAATAGAAGCAGGTCTTTTTTAAAATTTTTAAATTTAGTACAGGGTCCACAGAGTCTCACTACGTAGATCGGACTCATAGTGATCCGCCTGTGTTCAGCCTCCCAAGCGCTGGTATTACAGGCTTGCACACCACCACACCCAGTCTCAGTCACTGTCTCAGTGTGACCCAGGGGCGGGGCCAGCATGGCATGCCACAGATCGAGCACCTGCCCCTGCATGTGCCTACGCAGGTGCTTTAATCTGCTGAGCTATTTGGCCGGCCCAATAGAAGCAGGTCTTAAAACCCAGAAAGCTCAATTAGTACTGAAGGGACAATGCTGGGACTCAGCCAAGCTTGGTTCTGAGGTCACCCCAACTCACCAGCTGCAGGCATGCCAACAGCAACAGCCAGTCTGCTCCCCAGTATCGCACCTCCCATTTGAAACCACCATTCCTCACTAAGACAGGACTTTTATTAGCCTGGATTATTGGGAATCATCTCCTTTAATTTGCATCACTGCATGGGCAGGCCGCGGTCCCTTCTGTCCCAAGCTACTGTGTATTCCTGAGTTTAAAAAGTTGGAGCCTGGGGAGTAACAGGACTCCACAGATGAAGGCTTTTGCTGCCTCGTTTTCCTCTAGTGGGAGTGTGAATAAGCCGATCTCTTGGGTGGATTCTTGGAGTGGGCATTTGTTCTTCAATGTAGAGAGCCAGGCAGGGGTGGGAGGGGCACTGGGCCAGGGTCGGGCACAGTGGGTGTCCCAGAAGGTGGGACCTGGGGCTTACTCCACACATTGCCTCTGCAGGCCTTTTATTACATCCCATTTTATAGAAAAGGAAACTGAGGGTCTCCTGGCTGACCAATGCCAAGGAACTTTCCCTGAGCCACCTTTCTCCCACACCAGAGACCACTGGGACTGAAAGAGCCGCTTTGTCTCCACCCTTTGCAGGTCTGGAGCTCCACAGTAAGAGCAAGAGGGTCCTGCTGGAGGAGGGGGTGAAGGTGCTGCCGGGCCAAGCAGGTGGCGAAGGGACTGGGTCCTGGAGCCCTGGGCACTCTGAGGCCTGGGAGAGAGACCACCAACCTGGGGTGTCCCCAAGCCGGCCAGTGGGGACGCGGCGGGGACGGCCACCCACACGCAGGCGCCAGTTTCCAGACCTAGCAGCAGAGAAGCCACATAGCTGTGGGCAGTGCGGCAAACGCTTCCGTTGGGGCTCAGATTTGGCCCGCCACCAGCGCACACACACTGGAGAGAAGCCACACAAGTGTCCTGAGTGCGACAAGAGCTTCCGCAGCTCTTCGGACCTGGTGCGCCACCAGGGCGTGCACACAGGCGAGAAGCCCTTCTCCTGCACTGAGTGTGGCAAGAGCTTCAGCCGCAGCGCCTACCTGGCTGATCACCAGCGCATTCATACGGGCGAGAAGCCCTTTGGCTGCAGTGACTGTGGCAAGAGCTTCTCACTACGCTCCTACCTGCTGGACCACCGGCGTGTGCACACTGGCGAGCGGCCCTTTGGCTGTGGCGAGTGTGACAAGAGCTTCAAGCAGCGCGCTCACCTCATAGCCCACCAGAGCCTTCATGCCAAGATGGCTCAGCCCGTGGGTTGAGCAGCCAGTGGAACCATGCTGCCTTCTTTGTGTTCTTGGGGCTTCACCCATCTTTGGACACTTCCTGGCCTGCTGGAGTGACCCAGGCTCAAGGCTGCCCTGCCTGCCCTCAGGATGTACCCTGCACTCCCTGGAAGAGAAGTCTGACTGATGTTGTGTTTTTCCTTTTGCTCTGTGTTTCTCTTTTCCTTAGTTTCCTGGAGCCATAGCATATTCCTGGCAGGGGCAGCAGGGAATGTGAGGATTCAGGCAGGGCTTGGGGCTTTTTCCTAGGGCCCCTCGGCCCGAGGTGGCCACTGGCTGTTTGTTTCCTGCCTTCTCAGGTGGTCCATGGGTCCTGCCCTGCCCACCTGTGCCTTCAGCAGGTGGAGGGCTAGACCCCCAGGAGACTGCTTGGCTTTGGGAGGGTCAGTAGGCCCACACATACGAGAAAGTGAGGACTGGCTCTGGCCACGGGGATATTCTGGCCTGCATTTCCTTCCATTTCCAGGCAGTGACCACTCTGTCCTGGCCAGGCCACAGGAAGTTGCCATGTTTGCTCCTGGCAGATGTACCTGCCTTCCAGTGAACCTCCATCTGCCATTCTGGATGGTAGGTGGTTGGAAGCCCCCTCTTGCCCCCTCCTCCAAGGCATAGCCTTGGCTGTACTGAACACTAGCACTCCATCAGCATGTCGTTGCTGACTCCTTAAGCACTGCATTCCATTTTTTGTCTGCATTTTGTGCAGATTTGTATGAACAGGGACAGACCAGGTCCCTTCTAAAGAGGTCAGGCCGTTGGATCTCAGAAGGGCTTGAATAAACATGGAAATTTCTCTCAGGTGTTGTTTGTTCAGGTGGCTACTGCAGGGAGTGGGGGAACCTAGGAATCTATCCCTTGGCCTTGTGGCCTGGTCCTTTGGGTGATTCACAGCTATGTAGTTGTCAGACAGTCATATCCTGGGTTTTCAGAAGTTGGGTCCCAAGGGGTAGCCATGAACCCCAGGACTCCATCCCCATCTGTTGGTCTGTCAGCCCTGGTCTGGGCAGCCATCTTCATCCTAGCAAGTCACCTTCTCCTTGAGAGTTCAGGATCCACCGAGCAGCACAAGTCTCCCAACCTGCACCCAGCTGGCCCTCTCCAGCCCCCACTTGCTCCCCAGCTTGGCCCCCCTAGCCTCCAGCTAGGATGAGGATGGCTGCCAGACCCGGGCTGACATAGGTTAACAGAAGGGGCTGGAGTCCTGGGGTTCATGGCTACCCTTCGGGACTGAAACCCTGCAAGGCCAGGATACGGCTCCATTTGGTGACAAAACAGCACTGTGAGTCACCCATGGGACCAGGCCATCTCTCACAATGAAATAACCAAGGTTGCACTGTGGTCAAAGCTGATTCCCGATGGCATTTTCTGCCTCTCTGGGCTCAGTGCTGTTGCGTACCCACACATGTAGTAGTGTCTGTACACATCTCTTAGCTGCAGGAGGGCAAGTGTGAGTGGAGGGGATGGTATGATCAGTAGGAGGACTTCTTAGGGCTGGTGGTTGCCTCCAAAGGGAGGCGCTGGAGGGTAGCAAGATCAGATAGGAGTGTGGACCAAGAGCTAAGAATAGGGTCGGGTCCAGGTTTCAGGCACGAGTTCCTGGCTCAGGTGGAGACATCAGTGCCAGCCCAGAAGTCACCGGCTAGAAACTGACAACAGAGTTGGACTGGAGCAGTGGAGCTCAGGTTTCTGGAGGGTGGGGCAGGTCAGGTCATAGAGCTGATAGGAGGCAGTGTAGGGAGAGGCAGGGGTTAGGACCCTGTGTACTAGGTGCTAGGACCATGTGAGCTCAGTGCTTAAAGTATACCCCATCTCACTTCCATGGCCTCCTGGTGGCTGGGACCCTACAGGTGGCCACACAGCTGGCAGATACTCGAGGCAGCCTGGGGAAAAGGGTAGTAGGAGGTGCCATTTGGCCCAGCCTGATCCTAATGCCTAGATGTGCCCACTGCCCAGCCCAGCTCTGGCCTTGCCTCTCCAGGGGAAGTATAATATGCGGGGGTCATGGGTGGCTCTGATATTCAGCAGTCCTGGGGTGTCTGCCACTACTTTTGCTGCCCTGGACTGTGTGTTCCAAGCCTTGGGCTTTAAAAACTGTAAGAGGAATGAAGTCTCAGTACAGGTGAGCTCTCCTCCTCCAGCCCCAGCCCAAGCCCCCACCCGCACTGAGCTCCCCAGACTCAGGCCAGACCATGGCTCTAACCCGTAGGGCGTCCTTGAGCTGGTTTGGTTCTGAGAGCAGCTGGATGCCCAGGGGACTCTGTGAGCTGTGCCCTTGTGGCCTCGATGGCCCCCAGTAGACAGCTGAGGCAGCTGCTGCCACTGGTCCAGGAGCTAAGTCGCTGTGGGGCCCTACAGGGCTGCACCCAAGTCTTCCTGCTGCTCTCCAGTGGTCCTGGGGGTGAGTGGCTCACCCAGGACATCAGATCAAACTGGGGGTGGGGGATGGGTGGGAGAATGTCCCTCCTGCCAACCCATAGCTCCAGCCTGCTTCTCCAACTGGCCAGGAGCCTGGTGCCTTCCTTACTGGCCTGGAGAAACTGCAGTTACTCTCAGGATCCCTGCTGTAGCTGCTCACAGAGGTGGGGCCCCCAGAAAGTATGTATGAGGTCAGGGACATGGTCCCCCAGCCCTTTGTGCTCTCAGCCAGTTTCAGTTAAATCCATTCTCATGGGTCTTCCTCCCACATCCATTCTCTGATCCTTCATGGTGGACACAGGCAGTGTGAGTCTAACTCTGCGTGCCCCTCCACACAGTCCAGGCTGTCTCCTGCCCCATGCCATGCCCCCATGGCCCAACCAGCCTCACACAGTCCCTTCCAGGCTATCAGTAGTGTCCTTCCTGAGTTCCTGCTGTCCACACTGGTGTTTCCAGCTATCTCTTTGACAGTGACTGCTGCCTGTTAGACTCTGGCTGGGTGCCCAGGGTCTGAAGGTCTCACTGGGCAGGTGGGTGGTGCCTGGGAGATCCTGGAGGTTGGGGTGGGGGAAAATTCCGTGGCTGTCCCAGGCTTAGTGTCTTTCCATGTAGTGCCCACCCTAGGAGGATTCCTCTTTAGCCCCACCCTCTGTGCCCACAGACCTCAGGGTTGGGGGTCAATGATTATACAGCCACTGTCCACTCAAGGCCCTCCATCCCCAGGGAAATAAATGACCTTAAGACCAAACCAGAGCCTGAGTCTTGCCTAAGTCCAGACTGCCCTCCCCATTCTCCTCCTTCCCTTCTGGCAAGTGGCTCCAAAGAGCCTTTTGTGGACACAAGGTTATTCAGACTTTCCTTGCAGTCTCTTCCTCACTCCCTACAGAGCAGCCTATTCCTCACTGCAGAGTAGCTCCTCAGCTGGCTTTGAGCCCCACCATCCCAGCTCTTCTTCAGGGTGGCTGAAGAATCTGCTGCAGACAGCTACTGCCCAGCCTTCTGGAGCTCCTTGTGGGGGGACCCTGTGCCTGAGAGGTGTGGAGCCCTGGAGGCCTAAGGTGAGGAAACATGATAGGAGTCCAAATCTATAGCCATAGTTGCATGCGGGACAGAGGCTGAGACTCATTTGGGAGAGGCAAGGAGCTGGGAGTCCCCTCAAACCATACTGAGAACACATTGGCCTTCTCTGTAGCCAGACCCTGGTCCCAGTCAGTGTTCAGTATGACAGTCACTTCCCTGCCTCAGGAAGCTGGTCTCCAGGGCTCCGTGACCTTCTGTACTGGCTGGTTTCTGCTTCCCCAAAGTCAAAGCTTTCCCTCCAACAGTCTCATTTTCTTTCTTGGACACACATGAGCACACTGCCCTCTCCTCAGGCCTCTTAACTTTGTACTGGAGCAGAACTGGCTCTGGGAAGCTAGACCTCCAGGTGACCTCCAAAGAGTTTGTGCTAACTCTCACAGAGAAAGCAAAGGGCTTCCTCTCTGTACCTGAGGCTGGCCACAGGTGGAGGTCAGCGGCAGAAGCTGGGAAAGTGCTCTTAGCCCCCAGGGAAGCAGGAGCCTAGGCCCAGTCTTCAACTTTGTCTCCACACCAGGCATTCTGGAAGGCTCTGGCTCAGTTCCAAGAGAGGCTGGACACCTGCACAGGGGCCCTGTGAGCTGTGCCCTTGTGGCCCTGATGGCCTGTGGGGGCGGGGGTGTCCCCAGGGACAGCTACTGGGGGCTAATGGGAAGGAAGTACAGCCAGAGGTGCTAGTGGGGGAACTAAGCTGCTGCCCCGCACTGTGGGACCACCCCAAGATCTTTCTTGCTGTGGGGGTGAGTGGCCTGTTCTCCTGCCCTGGATTTCCTTAGCCAGCCATTGGCCTCCCACACTTGCTGCCCATCTCCTCCAGGAAGCCCAAATGCTGGCCCTTCCTATTCCTTCTCTCACCCTTCCTACCACCGAGTCCCCGAACTTGAGCTTTTACCCATTAGCATGGTCAGTCAGTGCTCTGAATATTTCTGGCCTGTCAGACCATTTCTCAGGCTTTGGGGACTGGGTTCTTGCCCTGACCCCACTGTTTTCAAGGGTCTGTAGTCTACATGCTCCCCTGGGTACCCACCAAGTGAAACAGTCTGCCTCCCCTTATATCCCAGGAAACAGAGATGCTGGGGGGGGTGGTGTCACCGACTCTGTGGCGCTGGTTGTGGGCACCTCCCACATCCCTTCCCAGGCAGATGTCTTCCAGGTTCAGGCGCATGCCCCAAGTGGGTCTTGCAGTCCTTTCAGAGCCTGGACTTGGCAAGGCTGGTGGCAGGACTTGTCCCCAGAGCATTACTGGGGCTCTCAGCTGGGTTCCTGCCATCACCCCTGACTCCTCTTTGACAAGATGAAGGGAGGAAAATTTTCCTAAAGTGCAAAGGCCTTTGGGAAGCAAGAGCCTGGCAGCCACCTGGAGTCAGGCACAAGAAGCTTCTCTGAGGCCCCACAGCTGGTAAGCAGCAGGGCTGAGCTGTGGTCTTCAGTTTATCTTTTCTTCCTCCCTGCATTTCCCCCCCTATTGTCCTGTGCTGCCTTAAGCTAGGGAAGGGGAGCCCCTAGGGCTTGTGGAGTCCTAGGATTCTGGTGATGGGAGTTGACTCCTCTTGCAGGCAGCTGTTCCAGGGGCCCCACTTCAGGGAGCTCTGACCAAGCAGACGTTCTGACAGTGTGTGCAGCCCCTGAGGGTAAGATACCCAGGGGCCTTTACAAGGACCCAGTTTCCTGCTTTAAGATCTGGAGTGATCTTAAGGACAGCCTGGAGTTGAGGTTAGAGCCCGGAGGAGCCAGCCTAGTTGCATTTAAGTCATCTTCGTTCCATGGTTTGTTGTTTGTATCAAGAATATGATGACCAGGTATGGTGGTATGTACTTGTAATCTCAGCATTTGGGCCAGAAGGATTGTGGCAAGTTTGAGGCTAGTGTGGGCTACCTAGTGAATTCAAAGCCACCTTATACTGTATGCAGACCCTGTCTCGAAAACCAAACAAAAACAAAAGGATGGTGAGCACATTTTGAGCACTAACTTTGCCAGGCACTCTGGGTGCATAATTTTCTCTACACTATAAGTTCTACGAGGTCTCTCTTCAGTGCCTGGTATCTAGTAGGACCACAGTAAATGTCAACTACTGAATCTACTTGCGTGTTCACTCTGCACACTGCAGATATGGAGCAACAGTTTGTTCCAGAAATCCCTGGCCCCTGCCCTGTTCTCTGGCAGGATTCCTGGGTCCTCTCTGCTTGCTGCCTTCCACACCACCTACAGCTAGCCCCTGGCAGGTGGGGTGTAGCAGGCCGAGGCCCGAGCCTCATTCTCTGGCCCTCATTCCCTGACCTAGGCTCTGTGGCCTATCAAGAC